GTCCAGACAGTTGACCAGAAATCAAGCAAGTGGGCTTTAATGGTGGAAAACAGGCAGAGGTGCCTGTCACGGTTCCCCATAGATGGATTCTAGGAGTGCGGTAGGTGGAGGGGGCAAGTTTACTGGAATTGCTATGAAGGAGGATGTGGAGTTAAAAGGCTCATTTTCTGCTCCTTGTGGAGAGGAGTGTAGTGATAACATGATTTTTTTTTAATAAAGGAGATGAAATTTAAAAATTATGAGGTGGAGAGTCTTTGCTTTAGACTGGGTGGTCTGGAGGGGCCTTTGAGGAAGGGTCATTTCAGTGACATTTTGGTGACAGGTAAAACAGGAAGGCGCTGCCACGTGAGTTGGGAAGGAGGGAATGCTGTGCTGAGGAAATGAAAGAGGACCCCCAGCACCACGTGACAGAAAGGCCCAGGGGATGAAATCGGGGAGCCCGGGGCAGAGGCCAGATCATGCAGAGTCTTGGGGTCCTGTTTTCAGCCACACCTCAACTTGTACCACATTTCCACTTCTGCGTCCTACAACCTCGATCGCCCAGAAACGTCACCAACAAGAGCTGCCGGTCCTGAAACCACCAGCCTCAGTTTCCCCATTAAAAAATCCTTAATATAATTTTCCCAAAGAGCCTTCATCTTTCATCTCACCATGACAGGAGGATTAAAAGAGGCCTTACCATCCATCTCCACCTTTCTTTTCTCCTTCTCTACCAGGGCCAGTGGGAGGGAGGAGACCCTGGACCTTGAAGGTCACCAGATGACCCTTCATAAAGCTTTGGCTCCTTATAAAAAAGATATCTGGAGGAGTTGTTGTGAAGACCCTGCCAGGACAGCTCAGAATCACCCTCCTCTTTTTAGCAGAAGGGAGGCAGCTGGGCAGGTGCGGGAGGCTGGCTGCAGGTGAGCAGGTGCAGGAGAGCTGCCGCCGCTCCTTGCCTCCCGCCCCACCCTCTCTTTGTCCCTGCTCTGACTATTGCTTTATTACTGTTTTCAGTCAGATATAATTCCAGCATTTTTTATAATCTCGATCTTTTGATTGATACCAGATTTCTATACAAAGATTTGTATATAAAATGATTATGTACCCACCAGAATACATTCCCCAGCAATTAGAACGTTTAAGATGCAGCTCCTAACATTCCTTCTGCACATTCCTCATTTATTACTTTTGCAAGCGTTTTGTGATTTTTTTTTTTGGTGCATGTGTTTACAAATCCAATAACAATTCTCATTTAGAGTTGCAAAACACGAAGCCAATTTTGAACTCAGACAGATGGCAGCTAAATGAAGTTTAATTAAAGAATGAGGGCTTTGAATCAAATCACTTTAAAAAGTACAGTACACTGAGATTCTGGAGAGGTTGCATAAACAGCATCTGGGCTGTTCTGCAGAAAGCAGGGCCTGTTGGGGAGGACATACTTGGTAAGACATCCCCAGCGGATCAGGGGCTGGGCGGGAGCCCTGTGGGCAAAGCGAGCAGGCGCGGGGTGGAGGGTGGTGGTTAGCTGCCCCTAAGCACATCTTGTACTTTGCAAAGCCCAGCGCTCCCGGGAACAAGAGGGGAAAAGGACATAAGCCATCTCTTGGTTCAAAGGCTCTGACTTAGGAGGGGGTGTCCCCCTTATGCATTTACAGAGTAAGGTCGGGAACCAAGGCGGGAGGGGTTGTTGCACCAACCGACCTATTTGCACGCGTCCGTCGGAAAGATGACAAATGCAGAGGCTCTGCAGAAGGCAGAGCATCGGGGCTCCCCAGCC